GAAACAAATGCAAACCTGTGCTCTGAATGAATGTCCTACACAGCACCAGTTGATCAGAAAATATAAGAAACTGCTGGCTAGCTTTCCCTCATGAAACACCATCATCTCATAAACAGTCTGTCACTATCAGACCCCCTTCTTTACTTCCTTTCTTTCCTCTCCTCATTAAAATGAGAAACTGATGACAAGGCTGAGAAAATGGACTGTCCTGAGCTATTCATGTCTATCTATTGTCACTTGTGAAAATACGTTTTGTACTGAATTGAAGACATGCAAGTCTATGAAGTTAATAAATAAATGCCTGACCCAGTAAGTCAAAGAGCTCATCCAAGAGGCTTCAGGGCAATATTCACCCTCCTCTTGTATCACAAAATTAGGAATAAAAGCAGCAGTTAAAGCTTTACAACTGAAAATACACTGATTTTCCCACTGCAGTTTACACTCAACTGCATCTCCCTCCATTCAGCCAAAGTGAGATATTAATCATGGTGTGCTATAATCACTGCCTAAAATTTAAGTAGTTTGTAGAACACAGACAGGAGTTAAGGGTCATACTGGTGGAAGCAAATGACAGTGTTTGCTTTTGGGGTTTGTTTGAGGGTTCTTTGGAAGTGAACTTTCCTTTTTCCAGGTGCATGGAAAAGAGGTCTAACAAACAAATATTGAAAAACTGCTGTACTACATTAATTAAACACTGTTCTAAAGCTAGGTGCACAAACTGATCCTCATTTAGTTAATTAGTCCTTGCTGTCCCTGAGACAGCATTGTTCTCTGTCCTTTCCCCAAGTACTCCTTGGTCATGATTTTGGGGAGAAAGGTCACTACCTTGCCCTTCCTAGCAACTGTCAACTGAGTATGACCCACCAAAGTCACCTAGGGTTTGGTTATTAACTTCAGCAAGCATTTGATCTAGCCCTCAATTACCTGTCTCATCTCCTCTAAGAAGTTTCCATTTGCTGGCAATCAGACAGCAGTCCCCATTACAAACACTTTTCAAATTTCAGTTTGATCATTAACTATGGGTCATTAAAACTGCAGAGAAGGGTGGAGAAATCTTAAGCACTATCTGCCACTAAGGATACCTAACTGAGCCCTCCGGAAAGCACTGGTGTGCTCTCTTCTACAAAGGAGAACACCTTTATTGTGGTTCCAATAATACTGTGCATTTAAGGCCCATGACAGGAGAGATCAATCAGGTATCTTCCCATCTCTGTTTGATTCTGGAAGTTCAAAAGTCACAAAGTCAATTAACACACAGACCAACCTATTCTGCTTTTTTCCACAAAATGGCAACAGCAGCAGTTCCTCCATCTTGCCTCCATGGTTCTTTGGGCACTGCTGACCCTGACTGCAGATGTGCTCACAGAACATGTGGCCACAACAGAGTCAGGACTGTGGCACAGACCTCTAAGAAGCTGCTTTAGCATTAACAACATAAGTGCTCCACATGCCAGCCAACAGAGACAGCTAAGGCTTTCTCTGTAGGAACCCACTGGGCTCAATTCAAGATCAGAAATACTGGGACTTTCACTCTGCAGCACTTGTACAGAGAGGTTGCACTGGAAATGGGATGGATTTCTATCTCTGGAAAAGGATCGTTCAGCTATCAAACATGGCCAAGGTTGTACAGAAGCTTTGAATCAAAGACAGTAAATAACTTTATTCACTGTGTATCACAGTGGCTCTGCCTGCTTTTGGGCTGTAACAGCTCCCTGAGGCTCATCTCTCTGGTTTACCAAGAGTTTCAGAAAGCTTACTCACAGCATCCTCTCTCCAAGAAAGCTTACTGGGTTTCATAAGAGTAACTGAGCTATGTTCTATTCCGGAAAAAAACCCCAACCCAAAAATGAAACACCACTACCACCACCACCATCACCAAACAACTCAAAGCCAACCAAGCATGCAAAAAACAAATCAAAACAAAAAAATCCCACCAAAATGCCAAAACCCACCCCTCAAAAAACCCCACCAACGTATATGTAGTGGGAAGTAGGGAGTGGGGGGGAGTGTTAGAAATCTTGTAATAATTTGTAAGAATGATTCTGCAATTTGCTTTCTAAAATTGGTTGCATTTAGTATTTTATTTTGGAGAAGATAAATATAAATCAGAACATATTCATACAGAATTTCAGAGCCAAACACTTTCATGCCACAATTTGCAAAGTGGCTTAACCAAGCTCATATAAAATCAGCACGAGAGTTAGAAATGAAACCCTGGAGTTCCTAGCTCTTGTGCCTGAATTCAGATTGCCAGACTTACCTTTCATCAGCAAAACACAAGTGCAAGAATTTGCATATAGGCTGGGTTTTGGAGCTATACTGGGTAGTAACTGCAGCAGAGTATTAACACTGTACAAAGAACAGTGCCACCTGAAGACAGCAAAGAGACTGCTAGGGATGAATCAATTTTTTTGGGGGCTTTAAAAAGGATCCTTCACCTTTATAGCATAAATCTATTAAGTCAGATTTCTCTCTGAAATTTACTCCAGACTCCTCCTCTACTTATCAGTTGTCCTACAATGATACAGTAAAGCTTTTATAGAAACTGCAGCATTACCATCTCAGCAACATCTCCTACCAGAACATAGATATAATGAACACACCCTAACTCCATATGGAAACAAGAAAGTTTCACTGTGCTACCACAGGCAAGGTCATTCTCCTCAATGACAAGTGCCCTATCTATCTCTGAATTCACTTGAATTCCTCCAAGGCTGAGAATAATTGCTCTTTTGAAGTCACTATATTAAAATAGTGTTATCCACTGAAGAATGAAAACATTCACCATCATTTACTGAACAGCATACTTCCTTAAAATGTCTGCCTTAGTTTCCTTCTATGGTTATCTTGGATGTCACACAGTCACTCTGCTCTAGCCCAGCACATACAGCGCTGTTACAGTTACTGGGGATGAGCTTTCTTACAGTTACTGGGGCTGAGGGAGGAGGAACATCTGGTAACTGCTTGACAGCAAATGAGACCTCTGTAATTGGGTTTGAGTTTTCTTACAGAAAAGCTTAACGAGGAAAAGTCCTTCCCAAGAGTGATCTCTGTGTATAATGTATCATTTCTTTCCCATCAGTTGTGACAGGCCCCTGCACTAAGGCAAATCCACAGGTTTTTGCTTTTTGCTTTTGTATTTTTGATTCTGCTTACCTAACTTTCAGGCAACTACATTTCTTACAGAACACAGATCTAAAGATACTCCAAGAATTAAAGTGCTAGCAGAAAAAGGTTTCCATAGTTTACATTATAATGCTTATCTGCCAAACAATCAGAATGAAACACTCACTTCTTTATTTACTCATTAAAGAACGTTAGTCAATGTCCTTTACAACTTCTGGAACGTTATAAAAGAAACTACAGATGAAGAGCCACACTCTGTGTACACTTATGTGAGGTGAAAAAAAGTATTTTACACACACACCACCACCCACCCCAAAAAAAAGCAATCAACAAATGACTGCTAAAATGACCAGTCTGCAATGGAACTCCAAAATGTGTAGCCGAAGTAATACTAGATCAAGAACTTTGCTTATGATTCAGCTGTGGGATTTAAAGGACAAACACATGTAAGTGGAGACCTTAAGAAAAAACTCCCGTCTCAATTTTTATTTTGGAGAAGCAATTCAACTGCTTTGTTCCAACCAACTCAATTATAGTAGCTGTGAACTCAATTTGAACAACAAAACCAATTTAAAACCCCAGCAATATGGACTTATACCTGCTCTGCATCAGCATAAGAGACAGATTGCAGACACATGCAAGAAAGAATTCTGCTAAAGTACTAAAATGCTTTTATTTTTCCCCTGTAGGCTTTGCCTTTTTTTTTTCTGCTGCCTCTAAAAAGCCATGACAGAGGGAGCTTAGGCATGTCGTGACAAATACTTGTTTGTTTATTTGAATCTAGTCCCTTTGGGCTTAAACTAAAAGTTATCATCTAACTTCTAATGGCAGCTTGGAAGTGGTTTAAAAAGCTGCAACTTTGTGGATACTGGCTGCCATTCTCACTTGTTGGATTTCAGTAATTTATTCCTTAAACTAGATGCAATTTCCAGGGAAACAGCACTTTAACCCACAGATGGGATTTTATTTCATGAAGGGAGATGGCAATGCAGTTAGCTCTTTCTCTCCCCTCAAAGAAAACACCATGTTGGCAGTGTAAAAGTATCCAAGCTGGAAAAATTCTTGCTGCTCCATCATTCTGCTACCATCAGTCTGACAATAAAGCACTCACAAATACATGTAGACAGTAAAACAGAAGCTATTCATGTCCTGGAAAAATATCTGCATTGATGCAGAGATCCATCCAAGATATATTTACACACCACATCAACACCCTTGTACAGACCTTAGTCTTGAGTCACGGAATTGAGTGAGCTTGTTCTGGTTTTCACAGTGAGTATTTCTGTCTTTATAAACTCCCTTAATTTAAAATTTTCCCATTTTATTGGACTTTAAAGAAAGAATACAAAACCAAAATCAGATAATAATTAGTAAGTTAATATAAAGCACAGGAAATATCAACTGATGTGCATAATTATGACTGTCTACAAATAAACCTGGACCCTATCTGGAGAATTTGAATTCCTGTGCCTATAATATTCCAAGTCCTACACAAGCTCACTGTAGAGACAATCCAGATCATGGTGGTTATCCAAGAAAGGGCTAAAAAGTTATCCTCGCTTAAGCGCTGTTAGATGCTGATATCCAGTCTCAAGGACACATCTGGCCAAGAGAAGACTCTTGACTTTCATCTCATTAAATACTTCCTTGTACTATATTCACTCAAGGAAACTGCATGAGCAATTTTTTTACAGTATCATAATTAATTGAGTTAAATGCCCTTAATAAACTCTTTGCTTTTGTTTCTTGGCTGGTCTCCAATACAGCTACTCCACATATAAAACATGTCCACAGCTTAAAAAAGTGTCAAGTATAGCTTTTCACTTTAAAACTTTCAATGACATAAAACCGCATGTTTGTCTAGCAGGTCTTACCTCCAAAAGTCCATCTTCGGGTAGGTCTGTGCAGTGGACAGCATTCTGAACCTTGTTCTTCCCAAAGAGAGCACGCAGAGTTCCAGGTCGGAGATGACGAGCTATTTCCTGTTGAACACAACAAAACCAGAAGACCGTTTTGAACCACTGTTCCTTTATATTGTGAATGCAACGAGTCTTATAAAGTAAAACATTACTGTGCTATCAAAATATGTGTAGTACGCTATAAAAGAAAACAAAGAGAGAAATTCCAGCTTGCATTACACACATACACAGCTGTTGAAAAATCATGACCAAGACTGTGAAAACTAACTGCTTGAAACTGTCTAATCAAGCCACCGTGGTTGACATGCAGGACCCTTCATATTACAGATACACCTTCCTGTTACTTGTATTAATACAGTTAGCTCATGTTACACCTTTGCAGCTCTCAACAGAATGTCTGCCCTTGGGGAGCAGACACAAGTACACCACCGCCCCAACACTGAACTATTTGCTTCAGAACCTGACATTTGTGAAGCCCAGATGCTGAATAGACTCTTGGTCTTCTCTGCAGTGATTTTCTGAGACTGTGACTAGTGTCAACATTTGATCCCTCCTGAGGATCAGTCCAGACTCTCTCTACCTCTTTCTCTGTTCTTTGAAGTTGACATTTCATACTCTTCTTCATCAACAATGCCTTCATCAACAAATATGTCCTTGACCTCTCTGTGTTTCTCTTCCTACAGCAGATACCACTCATAACATTCCTCCCCTACCTCTTTGTGATGGTATATCTCCTATTTTATGCCACCGAGGCCTGCCTTCATTGGCTCTCCTGTCCACCATGCTCTTTCTTTCAAGGCAAAATGCAGTTCTGCTGTACTTCTCTGAACTATTACCATGTATTGTTGTCTTTTAACCCCTTTCCTGTGCCAACTGTGCTATACTTCATGGGCCTCTCTTCCCAACACCATGGAGCATTTCTCCAAGCCTACCTCATACACAGTGTGCTTCCTATTAAAATTCAGTGGTGATGGCATTAACCCAATTTTCCCTCCTTAAAACCATTAGGACATTCTTCAATAGTGCCTCCTGAGCACTGTAGCCTCTGAGGGGTCAGGCTCACAACAAGCTCATGCTACAGCTACTGAATTAAAAAAAAAAAAAAAAAGCATTTTTCCTTGCCAACACAACCTACATCAGCCCCTTTCTGAAGAGGCACTGGGTACATTAGGGTGTAATCACTTTGGAAGTGGCCAGCTGGGTTTCACTGTGCCACTCCCAGGTGTTTGTTCTGGTGTCACAGCTGAAGGTTACCGTCCTCACAGCTGAGTCACCAGACTGGATAATCCAAGCATTTCTTAACTTTCAGTGTCAGATGGGTTCAAAGTGACTTCAGTATTGGCTCTTGGCTCAGCTGGAAAGCTTTGCACAGGTACAGGTGAGAACCACTTGCATGATGCCCACTCTCTTCTGCGATGGCAGTGAATGATTCTATGATTCTATAATGTTTTAAGTAGTCCCAAAAGCATCTGACAACACCCTTGGCTCAGCTGGAAAGCTTTGCACAGGTACAGGTGAGAACCACTTGCATGATGCCCACTCTCTTCTGCGATGGCAGTGAATGATTCTATGATTCTATAATGTTTTAAGTAGTCCCAAAAGCATTATCTGACAACACCCTTTGCCCACTTTCCAGCTTCACCCACTTGTCATGTCTCATAACTAAACTAAGACAATTGGATTTTCAGGGCAAGATCTTATTTTAGCCCAGCAAGTCCTAGATATTTTCCTGTAATAACAATTAACAGTTATGGTGATTTGTTACCTAGTAACCTAGATCTGTTACCTGTGGTGATCTGCTACCCACCAGGAAAACAATTAAACTGCTTTAATGCTTGAAGTATGTCTAAACCAAAACATGCTGTGAGCAGAAGTTTCAGTTCCCCGTTGTTACTGTGTGTATGTCACAGGTTGCACAGGACCTTTGTACATGGATGTCAAGGATATTTGAATAAGATAAATTCAATATCAAACAGGACAGTTCAAGAGTTTGACTTTCAAAAAAAAAGAAAAGTCCCCAAGGAGAAAAAACCCCTCCTCTACATGGTCCTCATAAAGGCTTGTGATAAGAAAGTCTGCTGGAGAAACAGAAGTCACATGCCAGTTAACTATAGCTATGTGACACTTTAATCAAACCTTCCTTGAAACAACTCTTGATTCCTGTAACAACTAGCTGTCAGGAAGCCAGCGATAGCACTTGGATTCCAATTACTTTAAAGAAAGTTTGGACATATTAGAAAAAATTATTGTGACTATGAAATCTTTGGGAACAATTTAGCAAGAAACAGCTCAGATCTAAAAACCTAAACCTTGGTATTTCATACTCTGTTTATTTCCCATCCATCACACTCTTTTGTTCAAACTGTTCCATCCTTTAACAAGGCCAAAAATTCTGCTTCTTATGAAACTTTCCCAAATGCAACTATGGCCTCGTGGCCTGTAATTTTTCCTAAGCTCTCATTTCTGCTTCATGACTTCTTAACAGAAGACCTCATGCTTTTTCTCTCAGACTCACTCTCCCCCACTAACATTGGCAAAAACTCCTACTGTTGCAGTCCCTTCAATTTTTCAACAGGGGTTGCTACACATTCTCTTGCCCTCCTGAAACTCGTCAGCCATCTTGCACAAAAAAGGACTCATTCTGTTCTGCCTAGGATTGCATTAGATCAGAAGTACACAAAGGCAGGCTGTCCAGCACTTCACACTGTTAGCACCTGCTTAGCAAGAATCTAAAGAAGCCTTTCTTGTCTGTAGTTAACAAACCGGACAAGAGCTAAAGCAGTCTCTGCTTAAATTTACACAGCCAAACAAAGGACAGTAATTGCCAATTCCAAAGTTTTACTATTCCATTGCTTTCCTACTATGCTAATGAGGAACCCTCAGGGAACAAGGCCTCTGTAAATGATGGAGATACAAAGAGTTGTATGGATCAGACACAACTGTCCTCACCTATGTACAGGGTTTCATCTGAAACAACAGGGAGATGCAAAACCTTTTTTTCCTAAGCTTTCCACTAAGTTTATTTTCTGGAGCATGTGCTTTGTGCATCAGTTTTCAAAAACTTTTTTGAAAGGAACTTAAGAGTGGGATAATGCAGGAGTTAAGAGCAGCTAAAGCTCTTATCGTATGCATGAGAGGAGTGTTAACGTGTGCACTGGACTTCATGTGCAGGTATAAAGAAAGGGAGGTGCCACAAACTTGCACCTCACAAAGAATACACTGTCTGCAGCAAAACAAACCAGTGTTCCTGTACCAAAAGGCTTCATATCCACTTTGGTCTTTTTCAGCAGGCTATTTGGTCACACCCTACAGGCTGGGCTTTGATCTTCACCAAGCCCTTTGAAGATCCTTGCCCTACACGAGTTACAGATATATTTCATGTATCTATCAATCTATAACTGTGCCCAGTGCAACACTGCCTGTATGAAGTACTTAGCACATTCTAAAATCTTTCTATTTCTATGTAAGTGAAGGGAAACAAATGTCACCAGTGCCAGTAATATGTCAAAAAGAGACTGAAATATCATAAACATACTCATAAGCAAATCTCATTAACTGCTTTTCCTTCAAATGTCTGTCTTTTCCTGGGCTGGATGGGAAGTTATACAGTAACATGTATTCCAGCCAAAATTTCAGATTTAAAAAAAATGTCAAGAAAAAATATCTGCCATGAATATTTAGTTAGGTATCTAAAAAGGCCAAAAGGCCTCACTGCCTTTAAACATTTCTGCGTGCTTTGTGGTTTAAATGGCATTTAAGGAAAAGGCAAAGAGGTGATCACTGACTGCGCAGCAACCGTTGCCTCCCTCATCACTCGGAAACAGCACAAACTCTGAATGCACCAAAATTACACAAAGGAACTTTTACAGCCTAAAATTCTGTTCTATTTGAACATGAACTAGAAAAAGGGAACCTTGAAAATTCCTTACTGTTCCTCTTGAGTGAATTACAACAAAAATAAGAGTTTGTGATCAAACTGTTTGCTACCCATGGTGTGCTCCCAAGGCAGGTTCACTCTTTCACATTTACTTTCAGGCCAGCATCATTCATGGGCTGCAATAAACTGCACAGCCCTCTCAAATCCCCCAGTAAAGCACCTTGTTTTCCTTCCTTATCCAAGCCCTGTGTGTCTACTCCTTGCTCATCTTAATATTCTACTTTCATCACCCTTTCTGAAGGCTCTATGTTGACTTGGTCTCCCCACCTTTGCTTTCCCCACCCTGCACTCATGAAGCTTTTTGTTCTGCATTTCTCTATGCTCCACTGATGTCATGAAACAGATGATTCCTCTTTTCCCTTGAGGGTACCAACTGATTCAGAAAGCAGTAGCCAGCCTCAGCCAAACAAGCAAGTGCCTTTCTCCTTTTAAAGACCAGCTACACCCTTGTCAAGAGAACAGAACACACATTAAATGTGAACAAACAAAATAATGTAAATTCCACCACTCACTGTGGAATTTGTCTATCTGAACGTTAGCCATCAGAAAGCTGACTGCCTCAACCAAGTCCAAATGAGGCACCTGAGCTTCCTCTGTAGCACGTGGAGGCTGATAAGCCCTTTCAGTTAAAAAAAAAAAAAAAAAAAAAAAAAAAAAAGTCTCCTGCAATACAAGAGCTATGTAAGGTAGGTAGGATGAGTGCCTCTCTCTTCTATTCCCATCATCACAGCTCTTCAGCTGGCTTTTACTTTCAGGGGATTTTAGCACCACTCATATCACACACTGCTGCCTGCAGCAGGGAGATGTACAAAATACTCATTCCTATATAAGCCATCAGTAAGAGGTAAAATGATAAAAGCAGCACATTCTCTGTCATGCAGAATACCATACTAGATAAGCATCTCCTGTAATGCTAATTCAAACTAAGAAACACCTTCACATTATTGTTACTGTGGGAACAACTTCAGTTGACCAGTCTGATATATCCTTCACAGTGGTTCCCATCCAAAGACAAAGGCTTAACTGTCAAAATGAAATCTGTGGTCACAGATGATCTTGTGCACGATACCACAAGGGCTGACTTGTTTTCATTGCAGTTCATACTCCTTCCAGACTCTAGCCAACC